TCAGAATATCACAATTACGTTATTTTAACATCAATTAGGAAAAAGAGCAGTTTAGCAACTCTTTTAAAATTTGTATAAATAAATATCAAGAAAAATTAAGTCTGGCTGTTAGCCTTGAGAAAGTTTCGTTTGTTTAAGTCAAGCTGAACATGCTCCATCCGAGCCAGCTGATTGTCGATAAACCCATTGACCGGTACAGCGGACAGGTACGTAGGTCTGTCTACCTTTTGATGACGTATATTCTGTAAGAATACATCGAAGACAATTGCGCATATACTGGTAAATGCAGTGAACACATTGGTTGTTACACGGCCGAAATATTCTGCCCAATGCCTTTATATGAAAGGGCGTTTAACTAGCGTCAGGATTTATACGTGCGGAGTGGGCGTGTTCGAATCTCAGAAATACAGGTAAGGTACAAATGTGTTTAGTACAACGGGCACAATTAATATGTAGAAGCTATTTGTGTATACTCATGATAACCAGACAATATCTTGTATTGTAAAAATGAATTCCTATCACAACATTTTATATCATTGTCTTTCAGAGTAAACATCAAAATATCTATGTAATAAGCGAAAAATATTGTATTGTGAATGGAAACATCGCACAATGGGTGATGACTATTGTGTCCTGAGTGATGACTGTTTTATACTGGGTGATGACTTGTATACTGTGTGATGACTATTGTATACTGTGTGATGACCATTGTGTACTGTGTGATGACTATGGTATACTGTGTGATGACTATTGTATACTGTGTGATGACTATGGTATACTGTGTGATGACTATGGTATACTGTGTGATGACTATGGTATACTGTGTGATGACTTGTATACTGGTTGATGCATATTGTATACTGTGTGATGACTATTGTGTACTGTGTGATGACTATGGTATACTGTGTGATGACTATTGTATACTGAGTGATGACTATTGTATACTGTGTGATGACTATTGTGTACTGTGTGATGACTATTGTGTACTGTGTGATGACTATTGTATACTGTGTGATGACTATTGTATACTGAGTGATGACTATTGTATACTGTGTGATGACTATGGTGTACTGTGTGATGACTATTGTGTACTGTGTGATGACTATTGTATACTGTGTGATGACTATTGTGTACTGAGTGATGACTATTGTATACTGTGTGATGACTATTGTGTACTGTGTGATGACTATTGTATACTGTGTGATGTGTAGTATTGTGTACTGTGTGTTACAGTTTATTACTGTGTGATGACTATTGTGTACTGTGTGTTACAGTTTTATTACTGTGAGTGTGACCATTGTATACCGTGTGTTGACAGTTGTATTACTGTGAGTGTGACCATTGTGTACTGTGTGTTGACAGTTTTATTACTGTGTGATGTACCATTGTGTACTGTGTGTTACAGTTGTATTACTGTGTGATGACTAGTAATGTGTGTACTGTGTAATTGTGTGTGTTACAGTTTGATTACTGTGAGATGTAGTGTCATTGTGTACCGTGTGTTACAGTTTATTACTGTGAGGTGTAGTAATTGTGTACCGTGTGTTACAGTTTTATTACTGTGAGGTGTAGTAATTGTGTACTGTGTGTTACAGTTTTATTACTGTGAGGTGTAGTAATTGTGTACCGTGTGTTACAGTTTTATTACTGTGAGGTGTAGTAATTGTGTACCGTGTGTTACAGTTTTATTACTGTGAGGTGTAGTAATTGTGTACCGTGTGTTACAGTTTTATTACTGTGAGGTGTAGTAATTGTGTACCGTGTGTTACAGTTTTATTACTGTGAGGTGTAGTAATTGTGTACCGTGTGTTACAGTTTTATTACTGTGAGGTGTAGTAATTGTGTACCGTGTGTTACAGTTTTATTACTGTGAGGTGTAGTAATTGTGTACCGTGTGTTACAGTTTTATTACTGTGAGGTGTAGTAATTGTGTACCGTGTGTTACAGTTTTATTGCTGTGAGGTGTTGTAATTGTGTACCGTGTGTTACAGTTTTATTACTGTGAGGTGTAGTAATTGTGTACCGTGTGTTACAGTTTTATTACTGTGAGGTGTAGTAATTGTGTACCGTGTGTTACAGTTTTATTACTGTGAGGTGTAGTAATTGTGTACCGTGTGTTACAGTTGTATTACTGTGAGGTGTAGTAATTGTGTACCGTGTGTTACAGTTTTATTACTGTGAGGTGTAGTAATTGTGTACCGTGTGTTACAGTTTTATTACTGTGAGGTGTAGTAATTGTGTACCGTGTGTTACAGTTTAATTACTGTGAGGTGTAGTACTTGTGTACCGTGTGTTACAGTTTTATTACTGTGAGGTGTAGTAATTGTGTACCGTGTGTTACAGTTTTATTACTGTGAGGTGTAGTAATTGTGTACCGTGTGTTACAGTTTTATTACTGTGAGGTGTAGTAATTGTGTACCGTGTATTACAGTTTTATTACTGTGAGGTGTAGTAATTGTGTACCGTGTGTTACAGTTTTATTACTGTGAGGTGTAGTAATTGTGTACCGTGTGTTACAGTTTTATTACTGTGAGGTGTAGTAATTGTGTACCGTGTGTTACAGTTTTATTACTGTGAGGTGTAGTAATTGTGTACCGTGTGTTACAGTTTTATTACTGTGAGGTGTAGTAATTGTGTACCGTGTGTTACAGTTTTATTACTGTGAGGTGTAGTAATTGTGTACCGTGTGTTACAGTTTATTTACTGTGAGATGTAGTAATTGTGTACCGTGTGTTACAGTTGTATTACTGTGAGGTGTAGTAATTGTGTACCGTGTGTTACAGTTTTATTACTGTGAGGTGTAGTAATTGTGTACCGTGTGTTACAGTTTTATTACTGTGAGGTGTAGTAATTGTGTACCGTGTGTTACAGTTTTATTACTGTGAGGTGTAGTAATTGTGTACCGTGTGTTACAGTTTTATTACTGTTAGGTGTAGTAATTGTGTACCGTGTGTTACAGTTTTATTACTGTGAGGTGTAGTAATTGTGTACCGTGTGTTACAGTTTTATTACTGTGAGGTGTAGTAATTGTGTACCGTGTGTTACAGTTTTATTACTGTGAGGTGTAGTAATTGTGTACCGTGTGTTACAGTTTTATTACTGTGAGGTGTAGTAATTGTGTACCGTGTGTTACAGTTTTATTACTGTGAGGTGTAGTAATTGTGTACCGTGTGTTACAGTTTTATTACTGTGAGGTGTAGTAATTGTGTACTGTGTGTTACAGTTTTATTACTGTGAGGTGTAGTAATTGTGTACCGTGTGTTACAGTTTTATTACTGTGAGGTGTAGTAATTGTGTACTGTGTGTTACAGTTTTATTACTGTGAGGTGTAGTAATTGTGTACAGTTTTATTACTGTGAGGTGTAGTAATTGTGTACTGTGTGTTACAGTTTTATTACTGTGAGGTGTAGTAATTGTGTACTGTGTGTTACAGTTTTATTACTGTGAGGTGTAGTAATTGTGTACCGTGTGTTACAGTTTTATTACTGTGAGGTGTAGTAATTGTGTACAGACAGTTTTGTGATGTACTATTGTGTACTGTGTGTGAGTATTATTACTGTGTGTATGACTGTTTACAGTTTTATTACTGTGTGTGTAGTAATTGTGTACTGTGTGTTACAGTTTTATTACTGTGAGATGTAGTAATTGTGTACCGTGTGTTACAGTTTTATTACTGTGAGGTGTAGTAATTGTGTACTGTGTGTTACAGTTTTATTACTGTGAGGTGTAGTAATTGTGTACCGTGTGTTACAGTTGTATTACTGTGAGGTGTAGTAATTGTGTACCGTGTGTTACAGTTGTATTACTGTGAAGTGTAGTACTTGTGTACCGTGTGTTACAGTTTTATTACTGTGAGGTGTAGTAATTGTGTACCGTGTGTTACAGTTTTATTACTGTGAGGTGTAGTAATTGTGTACCATGTGTTACAGTTGTTGATGACTATTGTGAGAGTGTAGTAATTGTGTACTGTGTGTTACAGTTTTATTACTGTGTGTATGTGTTACTTGTTCCTCAGTGATGACTATTGTATACTGAGTGTTGACTTGTATTACTGTGATGACTAATTGTGTACTGTGTGTTACTTTTATTACTGTGTGATGACTAATTGTGTACCAGTGTTACTGTTGTATTACTGTGATGACTATTGTGTACTGTGTGTTACAGTTTATTACTGTGATGACTATTGTATACTGAGTGTTGACTAGTTGTGTATTGTGTGATGACTTGTGTACCGTGTGTTACAGTGATTACTGTGTGTATACTTGAGTGTGTTACAGTTGTATTATTGTGAGTGATAGTAATTGTGTACTGTGTGATGACTTGTATTACTGTGAGGTGTTGTACCATTGTATACTGTGTGATGTATACTGAGTGATGACTATTGTATACTGAGTGATGACTATTGTATACTGTGTGATGACTATTGTATACTGTGTGATGACCATTGTATACTGTGTGATGACTATTGTATACTGTGTGATGACTATTGTGTACTGAGTGATGACTATTGTGTACTGTGTGATGACTATTGTGTACTGAGTGATGACTAGTTGTATACTGAGTGATGACTATTGTATACTGAGTGATGACTGTTGTGTACTGTGTGATGACTATTGTATACTGTGTGATGACTATTGTATACTGTGTGATGACTATTGTATACTGTGTGATGACTATTGTATACTGTGTGATGACTATTGTATACTGAGTGATGACTATTGTATACTGTGTGATGACTATTGTGTACTGAGTGATGACTATTGTGTACTGTGTGATGACTATTGTATACTGTGTGATGACTATTGTATACTGTGTGATCACTATTGTGTACTGTGTGATGACTATTGTATACTGAGTGATGACTATTGTGTACTGTGTGATGACTATTGTATACTGAGTGATGACGGAGTTATGACTATCATATAATGAGTCATGGCAATTACATAATATAGATCATATAGCAAGAATTGTTGTCATAAAGGTTTTGTTTTTTCCTGAAGGTGAATGTGAAGCTTGAAAACAACACGTAATGGGACAGAGAGCCAAAAAACGTGGTGTTATTGCAGGGGTCAACATGAATTCCAAAGTTCAAGGACACACGTCAAAGTCCACTGAAATTGTGACTGAACCCTCGTCCAAACGAGTGCCGCTAAGTGTCATTGTGCTGGTAGGGCTTACAATTCTTATAGCAGTGATATATCCTCAGTTATCAGAACTTGCTTACGGGAGGGTTACGAAGTCAGAACAGCTAGAGACAGACGGCGATTCAAGATCAGCAAAAGACACCACTTCTATACGCGATGACGTCGCTGACAATCTATCTGATTCAAAACAGAATGATCCACTGGTTGAAGAAGACGATGATCATCAGACAACAAACGATTTAAAGAGAGCGATACATTTAGCGGACGACGGCGATGAAGAAATGCCTGTAAAAGAGGAAATTATACAATCAACAGAAAATAAACGACACAACCCGTCCAGAAAGAACAGCGCATCCTCTCAAAATAAAAACACTAAATCGAAAACAAAATCTTCAGGCGATACATCAAAGTCGACCAAGAAAGGAGGATCCTCTAGTAGTCCAACAAAAAAACAGACTAAGGATCGATCGAATGAACAAGATCTGCCAAAAGAAGTCAGGGACTTCAAACCAACTTTCCAAAAGACGATGTCCCCAAAGAAAATCTTCGCAGATGGAAGGAGATTGCCACCAATTGAACTGTTACCACAGAAACCAAACAACAGCAGCGTTAGGTAAGTATATTTAAGTATTGCTTCACATCACCGATAGGTTAGTGCACACCGGTGATAGACAGCGTTAAATAAATCTGCACTGCTTTCCAGATCTAGAGTTGGGTGTGTCTACGCTGTGTTTTATGCTGGTTAGCTAAATTCGCATTGGGTTTTCACCAGCGTTGGGCAAGTGTGCTCTGCTTTTTTTAACAGTACTAGGTAGATCCACACTTATTTCCGTCGGCGTTTGCTAATTCTGGGCTGCTTTTTGTCAGTGTTAGGTAAGTCCACACAGCTTTTCAACAGTATTAGGTACATCCGCAATTCTTTTCTACAGTGTTAAGATGTCAGTAGCATTATGCAATTCCGCGTATCTTCACATCAGCGTTGGGTAAGTCCTCATAGATACGATGTAGCTTCACTTCAGCGTTAGGCAAGTCCGCGTAGCTTCAGTCAACATTCGACAAAAAGTCCTCGTTGCTTCACATCAACCTCAGGAAAGTCTGCGTAGCTCCACATCAGTATTAGATAAGTCCGTGTTGCTTCTTATCAGCATTATGTCCAAGTACCTTCACACCAGTGTTAGGCAAATCCGCGTAGCTTCGCATCAACATTAGCAAAGTCCGCGTAGCTTCAAATATTTAAGTTTCGTCTGTTTTTCTTTAGACTTGAAACAAAATAAGGTCATGACAAAACTTATCCGAATAACACTAGCTAAGTAGGCTACTTACAAGAATGCAACCATGTCAGAAGAAAGAAAGCATTTTTGGTATAGCACAAGCATTAGGCGTTCTAGTGAAAATAATACACAATATTTTCTTTACAATCGGTTTGTATGTTCTACATTCTTATATCCCATTGTTTCAGAGTGTTCTTGTATAACGAATTTCTGTCGGAGGCCGAATGTGACGGTCTCATGAAGGTCCACGACAGTCACATTGCTCAAGCCAACAAGCATGATCCCTTTGTCTGCTTTGATTCAATAGCTACACTTAGACATCACCTCAAGGCAAACGGCGTCAAGGTCAAGGTCACTCCTCAAGACTTTATGCCAGGTATGACCATGGAAGTGGTAAGCTATATTGGTTTGTTGTTTACATGACAATATGAAATAGGAGTAAGGCCGAACCTCTGATCTAACGAATACTGAAAACATGCTAGTGCACCAAATTAATGTTTAAGCATTTCTCAAGACATGATATATATATGTTCTTAGGTACTCTGTGTATGAATGCCACCTTCTCCAGTCAACTCAAGTCCTGGCTTCACTCCAACTGGAGTTACAGTACGGCGTTCTATCCTGGCGAGAGCAGGTTCTCCAAAGTGTTCGAATACAGGGTTAAAGAGGCGACAAGCCTACTCCCAGAAAATGGCGGAAAGTTTCAGATAACGTCATATCCCGTTGGAATAGGTGAGACAACACTCAGTCCTCGAGAAAACAAATGTGTATATATATATATGTATCTAATTACGTCAATTTAAAAAGAATGGCGTTCCTTTCTCTTCACTTATTTCTCGATTTAACAGGATACAAGACGCACACGGACTGTACAGAAAACACGGACGATCAGCGCGACCGCATGGCTACGATACTGGTTTACCTTCAGGACGTGGAGGAGGGCGGGGAGACCATGTTTCCGGGTAAATACTGGATAAGTGAGCATAAGTGAGCATTTACGTGAAAGTAGGTGTATGAAAGGTATGTCTTGTTTTGGATCTACCTGCTTCACGATGGCAATTTTAGAGGTAAAATATTGTGCTAGGTCTCAGATTTTTTTATGTTCAGAGGTCAGTAGTCAAGGTCATCATTACTGTAAATAGTCAATGCCATCAGATCGAAGGTCAAGGTCAAATTTGAAAAAATAAGGCATTATTTGATATCAAGTGAGAAAATGTCACACTGCAGGTCAAGGTCACAAGGTCAACGATGAAGATCAAATTTGAAATATACATATATCACAAGCAATTACTTTGTCTATAAAGAAATATACCAGCTTTTAATGTCAATGTAGCACACAGGTGTAGATAACGACACCACGCAAGCCTTTCCTTCAAATATATGTGTGTACAAAACCTTTGTAGTTAGAAGTCATGACAACATCATTTTATATGTTCATGCATATTTTGAGCAATTCAATGACAAACTAATCATGTAATTAAATTTCATTTCCAGAACTAGGTATTTGGGTAAAACCAAGAAAGGGAAGAGCACTTGTTTGGAATAACATGAATGAAGACGGAAAGTGTGAGCCAATGTCGGTACATAAGGCAGCCAAGGTGGATAAAGGTCACAAGTATATTATACAGAGATGGTGAGTTTTACTTCCGGTCGTTGTAAGATTTCCCGCTTCCTATCGTGTATAGTAGTTTCACGACGGCCAAACCAGTTTCCATATTTCACTCAAAACTAACTTACATTAGAAAATGTATTTGGGGGGGGGGGAATGAAATGTCCTATAAACACAACTGCATCGTTTTTCGTTTTGATTTTCGTCAATAAAGGTTGTCTACATAAACAAATATGATGTCGACATTGTCTTCCAAAATGCATTGACCGAAATTTATAGGAGTTTTGCACTAATGGTACTTTGGGGCATTCTGTAAAAGTTTTGTGTAAGTGATTTTTGGGGTACACAATGAATTTACTTCTGGTGTTCGTTGGAGATCTGTTTTCGGTTTTATGATTCATGTGATCTTCAATGGTAACGGATATGGGAATGGAGACGATTCTGTAATGATGGATTCATGATGGATTATCAAGCATTTAACGCAGTGCTGGGGCGTCAGTGGCACATCAAGTTGCGCTCTATGAAGTTGTCTACCGTATGCAATGACAGACCCCTTTATTATTCGAATATTCCCATCTTTGCACGTTGTACGCTAGACGTCCTTTATGAAAAACGGTCGTCACAAGTTGGAAAGTTGAAAATCTAACATGGAAAAAATGTGCATTATATATCGGACATTTCAATATTCCAGTCAAAATACATATTCGAAGGGATAGGAGAATGTCACGGTAGGATTCTGTCAGGTTCATGGAAGATCCTCTTCCGGAAAACAAAATCGGCTAATGTTTCTTACTTAACTACCGGGAGGTCAATGTGTATACATCTTGTATTCCAGTTCGTCACGTAATGGAAATACCAAATCTTTTAATATCATCATATATTTCGTTGAAATTCGAGGGGCACTTACTACAAAAAAATATGTATAATACCTAGTTCAACAGATATTTACTATTTCAACACAATCTATCATGTCCAAAATCATGGAGCAGAATTCAGCTACAATCTATATGTTACAATGTACTTTTATATTATCATTGAGAACTACATGCACCTCTGTTTTACTGCCCTTTATCATTAAGTTATTTTGTGTTTCTCTTGAAGGTATTATTACAAAAGTTTTTATTCGCTGGGTAAGCGACCACCGGAGCCAGAATTACCTCGTCGGGCAGAACTACAGGGGCGTGTCTCGTGTGATGAATATCATCATGGAAGTTGTCGTTGGTATGATGAGTGGAACTACGATCACTTGGTGGATTATATTAACCGGAAGGCCACGTTAATCTGAATAAAATTGTTATACATGGTGTCAGAGTTTGGATTGCGTAGTAGTCAACAAGCATATACTCCAAGTCATTATTATAACTTTTTCCAACGTACATTGTACATGACTCGGTCATAAAAAGATTGTTAGAACAAATTGTGGGGTGTCCAGTACACCTGTATCATATGTTATATGTGTCGTAAGAATATACTAACGTGACATACATCGTCTTGTATCAAACAACATCAAGCCGTGTTGAGATATTTCGAACAGGTAAACTTTAAGAACCGCCGAACCACAATGATAGAGCTCACCAAGTGTTCCAAAAGATTAATGTACAAAATGATTTCAACTTATAACCTTTCTTAAGTCATTGAAAACTATATGACGAAATCAAAATAATAGAATACGTATTTATATAATGATACTAATCTTTATGATAATGAACGTAGCGACTAAATAGCAATTGAACTAAATACAGCTTGGCTTAATTAGATGATCTGACCACACGTGGACATTGTACAAGGTTTACTTGCCGTTTGAATTTCAAAGTTTCTATGTCCGCTGTTTGTAGCCGCCATTTTGTTAAAGATTCTGAGTCGTGTACAAGAACTTTTGCGCGTTTGAATATTTCTGACTCCATTTAAAAATGTTATACGGAACTGACAACAATCTTGCTTACTCTGTCTAAGACTCACGATTACCGGTCTAACGTTATATAGTTACGTTATTTCCATGATCACTGTCAACATATCATTGATCATGACTATTTGTACAACAATTCAAAATCAAGTCAATATAGTGACCATACAAAAGAAATCACCTCGAAATTGGCCAGACATGGAAAGAGGAATGGTTGAGCTGGCGTGGGGAACTTGAGCATTGGTGCACGTTTGTTCTGTACATCCGAGAGACGTGATGACTTACATATACGTCCTGTATATATTTTCAGGTAAAAGTATTTAATGTGTGAATTGCATGACATTTAAGTTTGCATTTAAATCACTCAACCTTAATGATAGTTCTCGTTGAATCCCTCAAACTTACTTGCTTTATTAAAGTTCTCAACGACTAAATATTACATGACACATCGTAAGCCTAACGTTTAATTATAATGAAATATAAACTTATATCAAATACTACATGTAACATGTAGGAGTAAATTGGCATTTCCTGTAGTCAAATACATACATGTTGATTAAAAAAGTCAAATTATACTTCGATAAAAATATTATCAATGTATTTGCAATGCTCAGGTACACTTTCTGTGTTGATTTTGCTGAATATTGCTTCTATTACTGACTAAACAAGTACTTTGGTTTGTACTACATAACGGTACTGTTGTATTAGTGGATTATACTGTTCTTCAGATTAGGGGGTGGGGGTGGGGGGGGGGGTGTACTAAATAGGTAGTACTGTAAGAGTTCCACCTCTTATATATCAGGGATTGTTTTCACGTTACCTTTGTGGTCCCTAGTACATTTCTACTTTACCTGTAGTCTGTTTCTTGTGAACTAGAAGTCTTTTCCTCGTACACAACAAATGAACTAATGTGTAAAGATTAGTCTACACTCAACTGTATTTCATACCAAAGATGTTAATCAGTATCACCATACATTATCAGGCAAAACATGCTGCAAACGGATAGAAGTGTTGGGCCATATTAGTTTTACCTGTGTGTTCATTGCACTGGAGGATTTTTAAAATCAATTAGTGAAGTAATTATAGATCAAACATGTTTCATCATTACTAGACACAACATCAAAATCTTTGTTTAAAAGTATCGTTGGTTAAAATAAGCAAATCCTGTATAATGTACATAGAAATTCCACTGTTTAATTTCCATAGGTTGTTCAGATACCAACAGGCTTTTTATAGTTTGTCTCATAACAAGAGCACCATCCAATTATTTAAGCATTTTAGCTTTATCATATTGACATGTATTGATGCTTTTTACATGCATCTTATATTTATTATTCAAAAAATACAAAAACAATCCTTTAATTTCTTCAACCGTTCCAATTAGGAATTTTGGTGAAGCTTTGTTGTTCTTTCCCTTGTGTTTTGATGATTGTATTTTGTATATTATGGTTCTTTCCAAAATTTGACAATTTCAGTTAATAAATTTTTCAAAAAGTTATATATAGCACTCTGTTAATGTAAATTCCTTTTATCAGTGTTTATCATAGCATATAGACTTAAAATCTGTTCTTCTTAGCGTTATGATTTGTTATTCTTTAGAAGATTTATTGTCCCTTGTTAATTTCAGAATTTCCCATACATTTAAAGGGAGATAATTCAGCAGATTTGAACAGATAGAAAATTGTAAATTGTAAACGTATTTCATCTTATTGCATTTGAAATTTCAATGCTGTTTTTTCATGCAATCATGCATGGTATCATTTTTTGCATGAGAATGTAAATATTTTTAATAGGAAAATTTTACTTTCTTTCATTTATCTTATTTATGTGAATATTTATCTTTATTATGATTTTTAGGCTCTTACAATTTAAAATATCACAAATGAAAATTACTTATTGTTAGTTTTGCCGTCCTTATGTATTGAAGGTATTGAAATAACGTAGTACCCTTTGTTATCTTATTTCAACCAAAGAGAAACTGAAAACATTGATTTTTGTTTTTTTTTGTTCAAGGGAGATAACTCAAACAAAAATAGTAGAAAAAAGGTCGTTCACCGAGCCATTGTTTTTATTTCATTGGAATAACCAGTAATGTCTATTGTTATGTTCTGTGTGTATTAAACATTAGTGAGAAGAAATATGAAAATTTTACATTTGCAGTGAAGTGAAATACTAGTTTTTGGTAATAATCTGATTTATCATGTGATTTATTAATTCAGGGAAAAAATCAACATTTCATGATGAAAAAAAAATAATTTGGCTTGTTGTTTTTTTGAAGTAAACAATACCAGATGTTAAATAAAACAATTTTTTTTGTTTCACCACGACCACTATATTGTGTCACCCAACCCCTTGGCCGATATAAGTATACATAAAAAATATTGTTTCTTAGAAACACGTGCGTTTTAAAAATGCATTGATATATAAATACTTATTAACGGTTAGCTTGTATGTAAAAATGTCTTTGAAAAATCGTCGAATCAAAATTTCCCGGAAAAAGAAATTAAAGTCTTACAATTTTCAGAGATCCAAATGGAGATCTATGGACAACTGTAAAGCGATAAATTACAACAAGCATTATATATTTTTTTAATCGTTAAATAGATGTGCCTTAGAAAACTAATCCCAAAAATGAACAAACAACATGATATAGACACAACGGAAGTTTAAATGTCAATGGTAAAATAACTTGATAGATGATATCTGATGGGTCATTGTCTTGTGTTATTTAGACCTCACACCAGACATTCCACATTATGGATAGATGTCTAGTGTTATCGGGTTTCGGAACGTCTGAGGTCTGGTATTGGAGTCGGAGGAAGCTGGCATTATTAAAGTTTATAGTTCCATTGTCAACTGAACAGAACATACGGCGTTGTTTCTGCTCTCGATTCAACAGAGATTAAAACAATTAAATGGTGTCGTGTTCGAGGTCATTGTGTTTGTGATGACGTCATAGATGAGGTTATGTATTTTCTTAATTATGACGTCATGGGCAAAAGGTATGCTTCCCTAGTGACAGTGTTTTATTTGGACTCGAGTTCCACGTTGTTTATCTAAGTGAAGAGAGAATTACTTTTAAAAGACATAATTATGTTTTTGTCCATTCTTGTACCAGCCGTGTACTTCTTGACAGGTAAAAAGACAGGTAAGTTATTTAACTAATATATTTCTCAATTATTGCAGCCCACTGAAAAATTACCAACTGATGGAAATTGTGTCTATTGGTTCATTTGGCAATTTATTTCAAACAAATTCTTTGGAAATCCTGAAAGGTCGAAACATTTAGTTGGATAAAGGTAAAACTTACACGTGTGCTAGTTTCCTATCTATGTATTACTGTACAGTGTAACATATGTCCTTGTGATGTGATTCCCAGAGCCAGACGACTGTTACCGTGATACGACCCGTACATTATGTGACTGGTTCTTTGACCGTCCGTCCACGTCCTCCCAGGCTCAGCACTATGCCGCAGTAAGTGAGATTTCATTTTTCTACTTTCCTTCATATTATTTGGCTCCATACGTAGAATGATAGAATAGTATTTACTTTTTTCTGATTCATAGAACTACAGTTTGGAAATACAGCATACACCATTACCGGTCGTAAATGAAAATTCGCCCAGAAATCAAGAATGAATGTCACTGTTACAATCTTGGTTGCATCGTACACTTCTCGTTAAAATGATAGTACATGAAAGTATCAACGTCAACATAGTACACTTCTTCAATAATGCTTTCATGATTCGTCATTATTGTTTTATTTACTGTAAGTGAATCGGTCAGTATATATTCACAACAATGGTTACAAATGTCAGTCGTAAACTGTACACATGGCTTTGAACTTGCATTGTATGAGAATGGAATGTATAGAGTGATAAGCCAATGAAAAAACAGAAGAAATAAATAAATAACCGAGTCGTGAAACAAACTCCAGTGATTGTCGATATTCTCATACTGTGAACTATGTTTGGATTATAACGTTTCCGCTATGTAGAAATGTTTAAATTTTATTAATCATTTCGTTAATTACAAATGTACATATGAAATCCTTTATTACGAAGTTATCAAATGTACTTTGAACAGAAAACAATATAATTATTTAATGTATATAAACAGCAGTCTGTCTTATTGACGATACACGTACATTGGCTTACCTGTACAGCGCCAGGACTTTTAAAAATCCGTGAACTGAAATTTTGTGCCATTTCCTCCTAAACATTACACAACTAATTTTTAATTCAAATTTGTCAAAGTTTTATCAATGTATTGGAAAGATAGCCAGAAGCATACATTTGGAGATTTATACATAATAATGTTTTTATTTCGCATTGAAGTTGTCAAAATACTCGTTTTGTTAAAAATTTGGTAAGATTCATGTGTGAGTTTCAGCTAAAAAATGACACAACTAATTTTCATCGACGCGGTATGCTCTCAAAACCTACATATGGTCCGATATAGTTTATGTATTCGCTATACCATTTTGTTTTAGGTATAACATCCTTATGTGTAATCTATGACGCAACAGACCAGTCCGCAGCCAATGTTGTACTCTGTGAGGAGAAATCAGACATTAGGTGAGACAACGACCCCTAACAACTTGTACCGTCACAGCGACCAATTCTGGAACGACCGCTTTAAACAGGTAAGCAGATGGGTATTGTTTAGCACATTTTAGACGTATAGACCGATGCTGAGCATTAGAATAATATTGATATACTAAAAACATAAATACGTTGTATATGTCACTCACTTTCATGTATATGTACCAAATTTACTTTCGTGGTAAAAACATACATGAATTTGGCACTTCTGTAAAAATTTCAGCTGAAGACTGGCTCCAGTCAAAGTAATAAAACCACCACCTACTTCAAACCCACGGTAAGTGTATATACGTTTGCTATCTCCTAAAGTCCCTGAAGCATTCCTGTTATATATTCAAAGAAAAGAAACATTTACGTCAAATGTATATAATATTACCTGAACAAGTTCCTCTTTCTTTTATCGCTTTTACTCATGAAAATACATTAGACAATGTGGTAATATGTAAGGTCCAAATCATCCCCCCACCCAACTTTTGAGTCCATAGTTCTATGTGTTGCTTGATGTTAAATCAAACGCCCAGTTTAAAACGGCTGACGAGATCCCATTGAAATGCTTGATAATGTCGAGGTAGACTTTAAGAATGGAAATCGGGGTGTTTAGAAGTTAGTATTTTGTTTTGAAGAATCGCCTGTCAGAAAGGGTAAAATGTTGGAAAGCCAATGCTGCCCTGATTGACAATAAAACAAGAATCAATACTCGACGAACTTTTCTGTCGCTCTGCCAATGTGTGTGATTAGTTACTTTGTGTCTGATAAGTTAGAAGTACAAGTGCCGTAAATAATTTGAATGTCGTTACCAAAGAGGAGCAATTGCAGTCATGGGCGAAATGGAAGTACGTGTATATTTGTGTGAACATCTTTTGATCAGATATAGGCTATTACAGGACACTCAACTGATGACTACGTTCAGTTTTTACAGTAAAACATATCTTAACACTGGGTACGGGTTTAAAGACATTGCTTGGACAACATCAATGACGTATATACAAATTATCAACATACGGTTACACTTGCAAACTTTAATTTTCTTCCCGATATAAAAAGTTGTCTCATGAATACGTTTCAGCGTTATTTCATTAATTATCTAAGATTAACCGTTGATGGGTCATTGTCACCATTTTTGAGTTTGCCATACTGCAGATTTGCGTTCATCACTCTTCCACGTATTTTGCTAAAAACAATTTCTAAGTTTGTAAACTTTAATTAATTTCTGTGTTGTTCATGTTTGACATCGAATTATACATGTAATTATGATTGTGCTAAATAAAGCTGAATGTTAAAAATACATGGGATTTGTTAATAAACCGGTTTCAAGGCTAGATTTTATTGGCTTGTATAAGGTTGTTTCTAATAGCAGATGTTTCACCTGAAGTTTTATTTCCTAAACTTAGGATGGTGTGAACAGACACGGTTTGTTGTCTGGGAGCTGGTGTCGTGGTAGGACTACTCCGTTCCGGGCCTCCATGGGGAATCTGTATACTGCGTCTCGTGCTGCTGAGAATATTCCATCTGATGACGGAAGTTGTGTTGATCCGTGTCATACTCTCCAATACGGAACGGATGGCAACACCGGAAGTTCGGTAGATCCACAACCTCTCTGGAGCTCAGCTGACTATTTTAGAGATCTCGACTGAATGTTGCTCGAAAGTAGACTCAGTTAAGATAAAAAATAATGGAAAATTAGAAATCTATTGAAACTTAATCTGTGATTTTCAATAACAGACATAGCCTGTGTTCCATGATGTTTATCTAAGAAGTACTGAACCCAGGAGTAAAACATCTGAACATGACACGATGGAGGATCCAAGGTCCCGAAAGGAAGTGACGTATAGATAAGACAAACTGTGATGACAATTTCATCTTGTATGGAATAAACAGAAAGTACGTACTAGAAGGTGAACTTTTGCAATAAAATTTCCTGAATCAGGATTTCGTAGTCAGGGCGATTTCATTGGTTGGATTTTATGTATCTGTATCTTGCAAAGATTAAAGCGATAAGACTAGAATCAGCTGATCTTATTATTTAAAGTCAGAATTGGTTATTTATGTGAGACGGTTAAGAGGGACTCTGTTTTCTGTTTAGCAAATTGACCTCGCGCGGAATATTGGTAATTTGGACACATTACATGTACCTGCACCGGACAAAGCCAGATATGTAGTAGTGAACAGACACACCCACCTATATATGTTAAAATGTCACTGATCGTCCATCATGTTTTTCTATGTAAAACTGTATAGGTTGCAGAAAAAGGGCATATACTTCATAGTGAAAGAAGAAGCAGTATACCAATGAAATATACCCGTGAGCATGTAGAACGGGAAAGTCGACTTTCCACGATAGCTACAGAAATTATTGAGTAAAAAGTGTGCTTTTAAATAAATTAACTTCATTTATTTTACAACAGGCTTTTCCAACTTATATTACTCACTTCGCGCGCGTAGGGTCTTACTGTGGAAAGAAACCGAAATGCTCAGAGAAAACCTACGTAACCCAATACCGAGAATCGAACTCCGGACGGCTAGGTGAAAAGCGAGTGTGTGTTTTTTTTTTTATCAAATATTAAAGTTTCATTTTGAATGACATTCTTTACTTATACATGTATTCAATTTGACACATCACAAACATAATAAGAGAGGGGGAAATGTTAAAAGTCCACAAATATATAAAAAAAAATATCCTCCCCGGCGGGGAACTGAATAAGCGAGTGCGTTACCAATCCACCATCCCGCCACCCGAGCATTCCAAATGGGTGATTTTGAGTGAACGGTGGCTGAAACATTCATTCTTTAATTTATACGGAATTTGAAAGGTGGTCTAGACTCCATTCTTAAATATAACTTAAAAAATTGTTTTTGAGTCATTTGTTTTCATCAAATTTCAGTATAATGATCCCAAACCATTTCCTGTATTTATTTATTTATTGCAAATATTTAGAATTTCAGTAGCGTTAGTTGGATTACATAAAACGAAGTTGCAGGAAAAAATGCTTGGAAAATAATTTGAATGTCCATAGATAATGGTGGGAAACTATCTTAAAACGTAGGTATTTAGCTTAGTTCTAAGATGTCTAATTTATGACGGACAGGATCTATATGTAATTATATATATTCTAATGATGCTATGAATCAAGATGAATACATTACATTTGTACTGGTTTCTATATTCTATATGTAAATGAAGATAGATTTAGGTTTGTCATGAAGGCGTCTCTTATGATTCAGTATTGAATAGCTTCTATTGTATTAGATGTTTTACCTGGAGGCAACCAGATGCGTCAAAATGTCTGGGATGTCATCTAGAAAATGACAATTACAGGAAAGTATTAACTAGGTGTATAAGTGGCCTTCGACTTCTCGGCGCTGAAGTATCTGGTTGCAAGGAAGATAACTCTGGTATGAATGGAAACTATTTTTCGAGTGTTTGTTTATAGTTTTTAGATGTTTGCGAATATAAATTAATTTCTTGTTTTTGTTCATTATGTTCTGTATCTTGTGCACTGTTTCACATACCTCAACTGTATGACCTACTTCCAAAATCTGAATTGTCAATCCGGAAAAGCGGCTGTATGAAACTGAACGAGCAGTTTATCATATGTTCATTGTTATGGAAAAATACTACAAAAATGGCTGAAACAGTTTACCCAGACGTATGTCAAGAACTAGATAAAGTATCAATATTTCCTCTTACCAATATTGAACCGTAGTATACTGTAGTAACACAGAGTATCAATAATTACATTAATTTTATTCATAAATATCAGTAATTTTATAATTCTAGTAATTTTGGACAAGATTAGGCGACATGAAGGATTGAAGATAGAGCCCGTTAACATCGGGAAAATAACTTAGGACTTAAGTTTAAATAGGTAGCACTGAACAACTGTTTTAGTACTGTCAAATCTGGGTTAGTCTTATTGTGATAGTGTTTACCCAGAGAAGTGGAATTAATAGTATATGAATTTTAAAGAATTCCAAAGAGCTTTTGACCAATCGTCAGTACTCTCTTCTGTAAAAACATTTCTTCTTAAAGAATACTTCATTTTTCCACTCTGAGTAATACCATACCCTATTCTTAAGAGAAAGAACGCATTCGCTCTCTTGTTAGGAGAGCTTTCTTTTCCAAGAAAGATGAACTGTGGTACAAATGTATAATGGTGAACTATACTGAAACGTATTTTGTAAAAATAAAATCCAAATAAAAGAAGAAATATACGTAGGACGAAAACAGTAACATTATCGAGTTTCTGGTTGACAACGTTTTCTTCGAGTTTAGTGGTAAGATCTTGCAACATACCAATGACAAACCTATCGGAACCAACTGCGCCCCCTGTTGGCTGACTTTTTTATATACAAGGCTGAATTTATAGAAGAGTTTATCAAAATAGATTGAGATCTCGAAAGTCATTTAAATTTCACTTTCAGATAACACAATGTCTTTCAATAACAAGAAATTTATTGAGCATGCTCATCGTATATATACCCACCAGAATTGGAAAACAAAGACACGACAGACTCTTCTACATCAGCCGCTTACCTCAGTCTTTTCCTACAACGACATTATGGAGAAATTTCCATCGAGCTGTATTATAATCGTGAAGGTCTAAATTTCCCTATTGTGAATTTTACATTATAGGATAGCAACACTCTTGCATCCCCAACTTATGGAGTGACATGTCGCAGTTAAGTCGATATTCAAAGGCATGCTCCCATTATCACGATGATTTTCGAACGAGAAGTAGTCAACTTACGCACAGTTTCAAAAGATACTAGCTGATGAAAATAATGGGGATGATTTACGATCGTCACAGTGATCTCATTGAGAAATATTGTATTTATAGAATTTAAAGAATTCTATCGATATGAAGCTTAACGTGTTTGGGCGCATTAATTTGTTTTTTGGTTATGTTGTCGCATACCCTATTCTCATTTGATAACGTGACATTATTTACTTGGAATGAACAAGGCTAACATGACAGGTGTCGTCGATGAAGCAAAAGACGCTTAACATTGCTGAACATCTGGTCTTGTTCTCGTTGTACTTTTCCAGAAGTCTCCATGTAAATATTTCCTTTTTTCATACTTTGCCCTAGTTTGATTTAATTTGAGTGTGTATTATGATTATTTTGGTATTTTGTTGTCGTTGTTATTTTAATTTTTTTAAATTGATTTTAATTGTCTCTCTATATATAAATATATATGAATAATCCGTTCATGAATACTGTCACAAGATTACAACGGGAAAATTTAAAATGACGACAGGCCTTTGTCACAGACACGTTTCGCATTACTGCAATCATTCAAGTGATTCAGATGCGTTGCTATGGACGCACTTGCGTCCGGACTCAATAGCATGTGCTCACAAATTCCAGCAGACGGAAAGATCCATATGCATACACATTTCGTGTGATGTTTTAAAACTGCGAATGGATCGAACGTTTTAAGTCATTAAAAACATCTGTTTTGTTTTTGGTAGCCATCACTATATCGTTTTTATGGCAAATTTTAGTTATTTCATCAGGAACTTCCTATCGTGAGGGATCAATTGATGTCAGGCGTTTAGCGTCTTTAGAGGAAAATACTGCCAAAGCAGTAACAAAACAGTAATATTTCCACGTTAACATTTTACAGGTTGAATTAGATTACTATACAGGTTTAAATACCTCGTCGTATCAATTTGTTTTGACACAAGACACGTGAAACGGATGTTTACATGTCACTGTTGTTACGGTTTGGTAGGGGAGATAACTGTAATCGTCTTTGTTACATTTGTAGAACAAAATGTGTTTTAATTCCTGATATAAGTAAACAATCGAATCTTGCTTTGACATTTATCCGTAAAAGACACTAAATGAATAAAGCCCACTGATAAATATGCATATTATTCAATGCATCCAGATAAATTTCACGTCTCACTACAGTATGCTTAGGAAATATGGCGGAGATTGGCCAATGAAGAAGAGGCATTTCAATCACGTGATGAAATTTTTTGGTGTGTTGGGTTGTGTTGTTCATTGATGAACTAGCGAAAGCATAGATCTACTGGCCGTCGGAATAACGGATATTGTGCTCCCTTGCGGGACCAGGGGATTGTGAGAGTTGGTTCATAGGAAGATAAGTATTTAATTCATATATATTTGGTGTCAAACGTGGAAAATGTCTGGGCAACCACACCAGAGGGTTCGCCGAAATGCGTCCCCTATTCAGACTCAAAGACCTATCAAGGCAGTGATTCCGTTCTCGTTGAAAAGCAGTCCAACGAGAAAAAGCCCAGTCTCGTCGCCAACAGCAGGTCTAATACTAACACGAAGATCTCCAGATAACAGATCTTCACCAGAAAGAAAATCGCCGAATTCACCTAGTTTTAAAGGTTAGTACTTCACCGGTAAACTAGTACGATACATTTTTTGGCAACTTGCCCAAAGCCCGTGTCTTTGTCACAGTGGTAAAATGGCTTCATAGGACATGAAATTCGCACAGAAAACATATCTGTTGACTGTCATTCGTTAAATATGCTGAAAGACCCTACCTTAGATACATTATTATCTGCAAATTAGAATGATTGATTGTCATATTGTTTTTGTCATTTTGTAGTAATAAAGAAATATCCACCTGTCAATGCAGACGACTTTCATAAATATTTCGCCGAACTGTGTAAGATGGCCGCACTCTTCTAGTCCTATATTTGGCATATTACCAAACTCCCGTTAAGTGTCAATTGCTTACTCCTGGGTAAATATAAAAGTCTCTTGGCAAACGTCCAGAACTTATTTTTTTCACATGAAACAGAATATTAATATGGGAAAATAAAGGTGTGTTCAATCTTTACCCTGTAAGTGAATTATGAGTCTCCTCAAACTGAAAGTTATAGTTTTACCATAGGAATGTCTCTTTGCATGGTTGTTCAAATTGGAATTTCAAAACACTAACATTATTGAAAACTATTCTTGTTTTTGATGCCATTGGTTTGTCTTAGATATACTTCTGGTGAATTATAATTGCCGAACATACATCTAGGACCTAAAAGTTTAATGACCAGAAAAAAGAAGAAATTTAATGGAAGTTTGAATTTCCTTACTCTTTTTTAAATTACATTTGATACTTTCTATGTTTCAAAAAAATCTTCAAAGGAAGCCTACATTTTTAACACTTTCATTATTCAATGTATCACAACAGAGCTGATCAAAATAGAAACATCAATACTATTTTTTTGTTGTTGTAAAGAAAAAATAAGTGAAATAATATCAGATTTTTGTACTAACACCCTTGCTTAAAAGCTTTATTTCTTATGTTTAGACAATGTTTGCAAATGGCTTTATTTCAGCTTCAGTCTTGTATCTCGGATCATACTGATATCAGGATAATATCAATATATCAAATCATTGGTCCTTCTAAACTTTATTGCGAAATGCGATGGGTCCAACAATGTAAAATTTATGTAATTCCAGAAATTCTATGTGGCCCATCAAAATTCTATGAATACTTAAATTGAGACTTGCATGTATATTTATAACTGATATTGTCAGAGCAACAAATTGATTCCTATGCCAATCAATTTATTTGCTGCGTTTATGGCCCCTCTCAATTATTTGGGCAATGTCTCCTTTAGAAGCTGGTGATTACCACAGTGAACAACATACAGAATGCCTATCACAAGCTGTTAACAGCATATCGGGGTAAAGTGTCTTTTGTAAGGTCACCACCAGGTCAGCACAGATCTGTCAAGAGTGATCACAACCAAGTCTGTTTCACAAAGTACCTCAGACCTTTACAAGAGGTTACGTCAGTCAACACTCTAACCAATTGAGCAGTTGCAGATCCCTGTCGATTAATATTTCAAAAGAATTTTTTTTTTTTTTTTTAAATAAGCAATCAAAGATGGTATCCTTTTAAACCACCTTATAATAATGGTAATTGTTATTGATAATGCACCATGCTTGAAATAACAATCCTGAAATAGAAACCATTCTGTGTGTGTAAAAAAAAACATTTTTGAAATCAAACAGTAATAGTCTCTCATAATCAGGATGTGTTTATATGGAGTGATATTCTCAAATCCCTTTGATTTCTAGATATGATAAACTAAATCTACATGTGATAGCATTGAAGCTCCAAAATGAAGAGTTTGCATGCTACAATTGTGCCAAAAACCTTGCTCTTTGGTATTATATGTATATGATGATTTGATGTCATTTCAGCAAATGTTCTTTTTTTCTCAAACTGACATTTTGTGGCAGATCTAACATTTACAGTTTCCTTTTATGGAATTGACCTTCTCACTTTCTTCATAGCGTGAGAGTGTATGTAGTTGCAACTTTTTGTAAAAAAACAACAAACGTAAAGTTCATATGTAACAATTTTTAAACAGTTTCTCTGTATTCCAACCTCTCTTCATCACTTGTTTGCCTGTATGAATTAGGGTTATGAAAGAGATACCTTGTGAAAACTAATGAGGTCCAGCAAATGTTAAGTTTTGACACATTAATTTAACTGATTAACGTCAATCCAAAGAATCAAACACATTGTCGGTACACAGGACAATTTCAGTTATAAGGCAACACATAGGGATAGGAAGAATCACGAGGACAGAAACTGTAGGCCTGTAACCAACCAATCAGGGGAGCAAACATCTATTGCTGAGGTAAATTAAGGGCCATGTCAAGTAATTAATTAATGTGCCAGCAAACCAACTAACACCATTATTTGCAGTCTTGATCATGAACTATGGTGATTGTAGGTTTGACTTGTACTGGACTTGTATAGCAAGCAGGGTTATACCTGATGCTATGATACATTAAGTGTACATTTAAATTTACTTAGTCACGCTTATAGCTTTTAATTATGAAACAAGACAAACTCTACAACAACATGTCATATGTGTAACAATTGGTCACAAAGAATTCATGTTAGTTTGGAGAGACAGAACAATGTCCAGAATAGGTGCTCATTAGATGAAATACCAAATTTTATAGAATTGTGTCTTTTCTAAAATCCATGGCTTGAGTGAGTGTGATAGTCTAGCTTATGTTCTAAGATATTGCCCTTTTGGAGTTGTGACGAAGAAGACATTTTGCATTCATTGACGCTGCCTGTGTTATATCTATACAACAAGTTGCAAATGACAGTGTTCAAAATGTACATATGATACAGATATGACATGACAGAATCATTTTTATACTCAAATTATCAGTTTCATTAGTTCAGTGTACTACTTGCAGGCTTTGTAACATATTAGTATAAATACTGATGTAACATGTGATGTAAACATTGAACAAGGGATCGTTTAAGTTGTTCATGAAATCATTTGGTCACTCTTATATTAAGTCTTGACGCATACTCTACATACATGTAATAGTTTGAATTTTTATTGTAAACATACTTGATGCAATCAAGTTGGTGTCCTGTAAGTCATTGTTAAAAGAAACAAAACAAACACAATTTATCGTAAATTACTGTTCGTTGTTGATTATTTTCTTAAACGTCTTTTGCAAAATGATCTATTTTGTTTTGAAATTGATCCTGGTATGCATACTTACGACTTATTTTCCAAAAGTTTTGGCAGCATGTCGGGCATGTTGAAAAACTTAGTGGCATTGCACCCACTCCAACATTGGTTGTATCGTGACAAGTTCCTAGTGACAAGGGTTTAGAACCCATTTAATATGTGGCGTGCTCTAGCCAATTGAAAAAATATCTGTACTAGACCTCATTTAACCTAGCTGGACATTATAGGTAAGTGGGTCACTTTTATTGTTCAGGAGTTGTAAGGTGTGAGAAGTTGGCCAGTAGGGCAGTGATGATGTTTACATAACGTATCCAGGTGTGATGTATGATCCTTCAAGAGTGAAGCCATAGTTTCTGTCTTCTCTTACCTGTGATTTACCTGTGTTTTTTTTGTGATAGTTGGCATAATCAAGTGATATTAAGCGTTGCCCACATGAAAATAAATGACATTATCAGATGTTGGATTACATAGGATATATAGAGAAAAAATGGTAGTTTCAAGAAAATGTGATATTAACTGGAATGTGACATTAACAGACGTGACATCATGTGGGTTCTACTGTATTATGAAATATATTGGGAATGGGACCTATATTCAGCACCACAGAGCCCACTGGAGAGGCCAGGTTAAGCAACATAAAGAAATTGCAATTGTCGTAACCATATTTTAGCACATTTCTAACTGTGCAGAAGGAGCTAAAACATGTATCATTACCACTAAGGTATATTTATATTTACACATACAGTACATGTATATTAAACTTTGAAATTATGACCTACCACTCCTAATTGTTTTCTTATTTACTGAATGTGTCAAAGTGTTATAATGTTATTAATCAAAGCATAATTTTCTTCTCCACATTTTTGGGTTGTAACATTTTTTGTTTAATGATTAGTTGGTCAAAATTTCCCCCCTTGGTACTTTTTATGAGTTTCCTTCATTTCTATTTTAGTATAATTACAGTTTCTCTAAATTTGAATCCATTAAGGAGATTTAATAAGAACATGTCTCGCTGTTTGAAAAAGACATGCTACATAACATGTTACATTCATTTCACCACAAAAAAAAAGATAAGGTACAGTTACGAACTGTACTGATACCTGAAAACAATGAATACAAACAGTAATTCCCAAACTCTTTTCCATGGAATGTGCAGTCAAAAAGAATATTTTCTCTGGAATGTACACATGCACAATGTACACTGGGAATCTGCAATAGGTAGCCCGTTGATAATAATTTTGTCATTGAGTCATGATCAGAGGGTATACACCCAATTTTCATAATAACTCTCCTAGACTTAGAATGTACATTATACAGACGTATATAGTGTCATTACATTTCATTATGTGTACATTAAACAATAATTGAAGATGACCAGACAACATCCAAGGAAGATTGTCACCAGGCTTTAATGTTGACATGTTTCGACAGTCCTCCGAAGAGAGCAAATTGTTGCATTGTTCAGAGCACCAGACTAGTGTATTCCTTAGGAATCCATCCAAGGAAGATTATAGGAACTGCCCACACAGACATGGATCTTATTTTCTTTGTAATGTGTACATTAAAGATAGTACTGTCAAAAGATCAATCATGTGTAAATTGACATGACTCTTGACCGATTTAAAGAAGTGGATAAATGGAGGATTTAAATTTATAAAACAAGTTATACTGGTGTCACGGTACAATTACTAGGAGATATATAGACCTTATTGTGATGATAGATGTTTAAATACAGAACATTTTAATGTTTGGGTAATAGATCTTTCTGAACTTTGCATGTATGTAATGGGCACCTTTTTATAAAGTTAAGGCAGTGGCATCGTGCCAGTTCTTAATACATACAGCTTGTCACAAAGAAATTTAATCACATATAAGATTAATTGAGCTGTTTGTATTACATGTATATGTATATGTATTTTTAAAATTATTGGAGAAAAAGTTCGAAGTTCATAGAAATTATTTCAAATTCATGCCTTGTGTCTGGGCGTCTTTGAGAATGTAAACTGGTTATTGTCATATACGTCCAAAACTTTACTTTGAGACAAAATACTTACGGCCATTGGAGCTACCTGTACTATTTATACATTGTATCCATGATTTCATTTGATGAACCACTTGTAACTTAATTACATATCAGGGCTCTCGATATAAGCTTCTAGGTGTTGGGATAAAAATCCCCATGTTTCAGTTACTGGGAGTTTTTCAGAAAAAACAGTTAGAAAGAATAACCCTAATTGATCTTAAACCAATGGATTCTGATTCGTTTTAAAAATGATTTTTAAATTCTACACATTATAGACATTGATGGCAATATATGCTTCTTTACATGTATCTCTACAGTTTTACATCATTTGATGTCATTCTTCCAGAAGTTTATTGACATTCATTCAGCTCCACCAGAACTTAAACATTGACAGAGACATTGTCAGTAAATTTTAACGTTACAAAATCACCTAATACTATTGTAAGTGTATTAAGGGCCACTTACTTTGCAACTGCTCCTGAAAAGGGAGGTAATAGCTTGAAACATCGAAAGTAGATGTGTACAATGAAGCTAAAGACAGCGACTGGTGCATTCAATAGTACATTCATCTCAGTAGACATATATACATCACAACATTTTAATGCATTCTATTTTCGGCACATGTTTGTCTTTTTAATCAGAATTCTTCTTTTATGCATTGAACAAGTTTTTTGTGTTGTTTCAGCAGAAATTTTTGTACAAAAAATGCTTGCCACTTGAAGCACTGACGCTTGAAATATATGTCATCTAACTGCAATGACTTGTACTCTTACCTTTTTTGTCATATTTTTATGTGAGACAAAATTTTGTATCTGTAATTTAATTAAATCAACTACTTGATTGTTTTCAGTTGAGCGACCAAAGCCAGTAAAAGCCAGTCCTTCACTGCGGCGGACAGGCTCCCTAGAGGCAATATGTGGTCCTGCCTACCTCAAGGGACAATGGCCCTCAGGAGATCTCCTCTCAACCAGCCACTTCATGGTGGATAAAGGCACACAGGTAAGTCACCGAAATTCTCCACCAATGACTTTTACCTTTTATGTGATTTGACCAATGTGTATTTAGAATTTCCTACTATTTGCAATGTCAGTGGATGGGGACGTAAATTGCCTCATTCCTGAATCAGTTTTTATGCAAAAAAAGATTTTTCTTGGAAGACGAGGGGACTGAAGTACTCTATCATAAGGGATGTATATATATCACTCAGTTTCTGTAACAAGGTGCTGAGCGACTGGTTAAATATGGGTGATATTGTGGATGTAACATATTTTATATTGTAATTTCATCTTGAGGCCAAAAATAAAATACTGTAGAGCACGCAATGTACACTAGTTTGACAACAACAAGGCTATAAATGTGTGCTAATCAAATTGAACTCTTTAAATTATCTTGATGTCTTGAAGCGTCGCAACAAAATGCTCTTGTATCTTTCGTGACATCTTGAGACATCATGGTAAATATGCCTTCATTCATACAGTACATTAACATCACTAAGACAATGGTCAAATTTAGTACATCAACAACATTACGATGATGGTTATCTACAGTATTTTCACATGACTAGGATGGTTGATATAGTATATTTACATAACTAGGACAATGGTTAAATATGGTACTTTCACATGACGAGGATAGTGGTTAAATGTAGTACTTTTACATGATAAGGATAGTGGTTAAATGTAGTACTTTTACATAACTAGGGCAGTGGTTAAATACAGTACTTTTACATGACAAGTGCAGTGGTTAAATACAGTATTATACATGACTAGGGCAGTGGTTAAATACAAAATTATACATGACTAGGGCAGTGGTTAAATACAGTACTTATACATGACTAGGGCACTGGTTTAAAATAGTACTTTTACATGACTAGGGCACTGGTTAAATACAGTACTATACATGACTAGGGCAGTGGTTAAATACAGTACTTATACATGACAAGGGCAGTGGTTAAATACAGTACTATACATGGCTAGGGCAGTGGTTAAATACAGTACTTATACATGACTAGGATAGTGGTTTAAAACAGTACTTTTACATGACTAGGGTAGTGGTTAAATATAGTACTTTACATGACTAGGGCATTGGTTAAATATAGTACTTTACATAACTAGGGCATTGGTTAAAAAAGTACTTTTACATGACTAGGGCAGTGGTTAAATACAGTACTATACATGACTAGGACAATGGTTTTACATGACTAGGGCAGTGGTTAAAAACAGTACTTTTACATGACTAGGACAATGGTCAAATATGGTACTTTCACATGATGAGGATAGTGGTTAAATGTAGTACTTTTACATAACTAGGGCAGTGGTTAAATGTAGTACTTTTACATAACTAGGGCAGTGGTTAAATACAGTACTTTTACATGACAAGGGCAGTGGTTAAATACAGTATTATACATGACTAGGGCAGTGGTTAAATACAAAATTATACATGACTAGGGCAGTGGTTAAATACAGTACTTATACATGACTAGGGCACTGGTTTAAAATAGTACTTTTACATGACTAGGGCACTGGTTAAATACAGTACTATACATGACTAGGGCAGTGGTTAAATACAGTACTTATACATGACAAGGGCAGTGGTTAAATACAGTACTATACATGACTAGGATAGTGGTTTAAAACAGTACTTTTACATGACTAGGATAGTGGTTAAATACAGTACTTATACATGACTAGGATAGTGGTTTAAAACAGTACTTTTACATGACTAGGGCAGTGGTTAAATACAGTACTATACATGACTAGGGCAGTGGTTAAATACAGTACTATACATGACTAGGGTAGTGGTTAAATATAGTGCTTTTACATGACTAGGGCAGTGGTTAAATACAGTACTATACATGACTAGGGTAGTGGTTAAATATAGTGCTTTTACATGACTAGGGCAGTGGTTAAAAACAGTACTTTTACATGACTAGGGCAGTGGTTAAATATAGTACTTTACATAACTAGGGCAGTGGTTAAATACAGTACTTTTACATGACTAGGGCAGTGGTTAAATATAGTACTTTACATGACTAGGGCAGTGGTTAAAAAAAGTACTTTTACATGACTAGGGCAGTGGTTAAATACAGTACTATACATGACTAGGGTAGTGGTTAAATATAGTGCTTTTACATGACTAGGGCAGTGGTTAAAACAGTTCTTTTACATGACTAGGACACTAGTTAAAAACAGTACTTTTACATCACTAGGGCAGTGGTTAAAACAGTTCTTTTACATAACTAAGATACTGATTAAATTTGATAATTAATGGCAGGTTATGGGATACTTAGACAAATATGTTATTTACAAGGCTGTAAATATATATCTAATGATTAAGTCTGGTGACATATTCAGGAATGTTTGCCGACTGTTATCATCGTTAAGTAAATTTGAAGACAGGAAATTAAAAAGTCATGGGCTAGCAGTTTGCTAACTGACAAAATATATTTCTGAAATAAGTAACAACTGATAAGCAGCACAGGTAAAGTCCCTAAAATGTTTGAAATCAATATTTATAAACGATGAGTCATTTTTATTAGAATTAGAAGTTGTCATTAGTAGCAAAAGAATTAAAATTTCCATGTGATCATATACATATTATTGTTACATTCAATGCTATAATAATTTAATCCTTTTCCCTTATCTGCTGTTGATATTGATCAGAAGAAATATATACAAATCACAAAAAAGTCACCACACCTTTATTGATTTCTCTATCCATTACTAAGTATTGATCTCTACATAGCTAGCACTTACTCAAGTAGAATGGACTTTGTCATAATGGAATTTCCACAGCCTGAATCTCTGAGGTCATAAATATATCAGTGAAGGTGTCTACATTCCAAGGCCATGAAAGGACCTATATAATTAAAATCAAATTGACATTGAGGTTTTACATGATAAATTTACTGTTTGCAGACCCTATAGCTTGTTATAAAATGAAATGGCAAATTGCATACATGAAAAAGCTGTCATCGATGTTGAGTGAATTTGTTTATTTTTTTAAGTAATTGTATCAAATACTGATGAGCAGTTGGTGTTTGAGAGTCTGGCACTGGCAGCCATGGTTGAATTGTGGGTAGAAAAGTGAGGGGGAAGGGGGGGGTCAGAGGCTGTTATACTAAGATATGAGTTATATTTGGTCAATCCTACCTTAGTCTACTTTGTTCAATTCAAATTTGTTTCTACATTTATCTTGAAGATATGATACTTGTCCAAAGATTAGGAAATCCTTTATACTCTAGAGTTATGCTCACTATCACACTGCATACATACTATGTACAATTACAGTGGCCATTTTGCAACATGATTGTGCCACCATTGGTTTCTTGAACATTTATTTTAAACTTCTCTTCTAGTCCAGCCTGTTTGATTTAGCTCAAGCACGTGTGGATTGATCCTCATATAGTCCTGACCATGTCTTTTGGGTTGACAAAAAATCCAAAATAGCTACCATGGAGGTCATCTTGGAAAACACATTTTAATTTTCTCCAATCCCACTGTTGCCATGAAAATAACTGAAAATTGGCGCGGCTGGTAAGGCCAGGATGCCAATAATGTTGTTATTTCTCATCTTTATCAAATGTTTAAAATGATAGCTTTGGCAGCCATTTTGCCAATTACACAATCATCAGTTTTTGTAACAACAGCTAAAGACTTTGGAACACAACTTTAAGTTCTACTGGATTGATTTAGTTTAATTATGCTGGAATTATCCTGAGACGGTCCTGACCATGTACATACAAGATTTTTATTTTTGGGGTTGAAGCCCACAGACCTTATATAATTTATTGATGGTTTCTTATCAAGTAAATCATGATTAACAACTAAAAAAGTATTTTCAATGAGATTGTCTAACTGTTAAATGTGTTTATTCATATTGTTTTTCATTAAATAATGTAGTTGACATGAGAGTCTACATTGAAACAATGAAGGAAAGCTTTAAAATACTTAAATACTTCGTAATTTGCTTAACATATACCAAAGTGGTTACAAAAATACCTGTTTTATTTCAGTCTAAAATATTTGTAGGCTACATAAGGCTTTCTTTAATAAAAACAAGTCGATAGTTATAGCTGGTTTGACAAGATCATCCTAACTGTTTTAGTGATTTCAAATTAAAGATTCCCTCGAAACTTGATTATGTATTGGAAAGAACTTATATGATGGTCGCATCATAGCATTCAGACTTATCAAAATCTACAGAGGGCTTTTTATTTTATTTGCAAATTATCAAATCTGCATTGGTCTTTTTATTTTATACGCAAAATTTGCTTACAGATGTTAACTAAGTCATGAATATGCATAGGATCGTAATAAGTTTTCACTTGATATGTGTTGAATGAAACAATTTTAAGAAATTTTCATTTTAGTTAGCTTTTGGCAAACTATTATGAAAAAATTATGAGTTTTATAAGTCAAAGATCCTTTTTCCTTTATGATCGATTTTTCAGCAAATGTTGTATAAACCAAGACATTTCCGTGTTGTACAGTAGTTAAAGTAATTTGGTTCTATATCTAAGGTCTCCATTGTTACATCACAAAGCAGTCTATGAGTGTAATGTCATTTATTATAATCTAAACCAGATGATGTATAATACACAAAAATAATACATCAGTGTATTCACAGAACAACAAGGCATCCATGTGATAAAGGTACTGAATGATTATGGTGGAGTATGTAAAGTATAGGTCTGTCTAGTTTACACATACGTTACTTATGTTAAGCTCTCCTCAGTATTTTTTTTCTTGTCATTCAGAACTATAAAATATGTCTTGCTTGCTTAGTTTTCACGTCAGAATGTAAGACTTCCTGGCTAAGAATCTAACATTATTCGTTGACAAGTTTTCCAGTATAAAGATATGAAAGATTGGATTTCAGAGATTTGTGCAAAGTTTTCATGCTTACAGTGTGTCATTGTTAGATAGCTTCCACAAATTAAATTTCAAATGGGAGTTTCATTGTTGACCTTTCTTACTGCCATGATTCAATCCTGGGTAAATATACTGGGCCTCACAGGTTAGGTGGAGGTTGATTGTTTGCTTGTGTGATTAAGGGTACAATACAATATGTGTCTGGTACATTTTTAGCTTTCACAGTTGCTGACATTACAAAGGTGATCAAACTCCATGTTTACATGTCCCTACATCTGAAATACTTCATGGATGGATTGTGAATATCTCCATTTTATACAAAATTTTACATTAGTGACTATGTTTTAATATCTTTATGATGAAAAGATATTTTTATTATGTAGCCGTTGCATTAGTACGGCTGTAATTGTATAACTGTTTTTCCTATTTTAACATTTCTCAGGTAAAAAATATTCCAACAATAAAGTATTCTGAATATCAATGACTCTGATGGAAACAAATAGGTATTATGTAAGATCAGTTTTAGCTTAAAGTCTGTAGTTTCAACCAAAAGCATTTACTAGTACCTTGTACAATCATGTTTCAGTCTAGAAATTCAGGTGAGGTTGTAATTAAGTGTCCAACTTTTGCAACAATATTGTAACTGATCTTGTGACAATGCTGAAGTCAGTAAATGTTATGAATTACAGACAGAGATCCCTGATGAGTTGGAGGTACAACACAGAGGGCAGAAAAGTAACAAGAAAAAGAGGAAGAGTCATCGGAGATCAGCGTCTTTTGGACATGGGGACCAGCTCGCGGTGAGACTTATAAGTTATGTTTTGAGATGCAGTCAAACTTTGATGTTTCAAAGTTCAAGGGACTACCAAAAAACTTTGATACATCTAGACTTTGAATTATGTGTGGCGGTTTACATAGACATTTTCATGTTCATGGCTGTATATTGTTGATGACCTGATATTTCCACCTGAACAAACACAACAAATACCAAAACACAAGTTTAAATGAAAAGATGTATCTTTCATCTTTAAACAAAACATTTTCATTCATGAAAAATAACATAATTTAAAACAGAAATCAACAAGAAGTAGTTCCTTGTGTAATATAGTATGTACATTTTATTGTAAGACTGATACATATTTAAAAGAAAGCAAATAAAAATCATAATGGGTTCTGTCCAGAAACTATAGCACTAACATCACACATCTTTGGTAACAGAAATTACAAATGTGTTTGCTGATGTTCTGATGATGACTATCCTGAATCAATCTGAGAATGCATGATTGACAGATAAATCACAGTGTTTCTCATGCTTTTATGCATAAAACTGAAAAATTACACTTTGGGAATGAGTAAAGTCATCATACAAGTGTTCAAGATTTCCTCTGGTTGTTTTCACAATTCCGTAAATTAGACTTAACTAAGCAATGGCAGCGGTGAACATTACACGATGTCCCATTATCGTTGATTTAATATTATGGCTTGTAAGTAAGCAATTGAATTTTAATCTGTGTCCAGTCATTATCTAACCTCATAACACAGAGCTAATGAAGTTTTCAAAGATCTGCTACATCAGCATAGGTTTAAAAGCAATATAAAAACAGAAGGCATCCAGTCGCATTGTGTTCTGTTACTATCAAATTTTTAGTTTAGATTCTTTCAAATTTTCCTTCCCTTTTTATATTTGATCAATTTATAATATGTAGACATTAAGTAGGGACTCATTGTCAATTTTCTGTCTGACATTAGTGGAATGAAGCTGAAGTGTTCCAGGTTGATGAATTTCAAAGACATACACCTATACACTCCCAGTTATAATGGCTTTGTAACACAAACCCAGTAATTCACACCATTGTTCATCAATTTTGCATTCATATTTGAGTAAGCTTTTGGTGTCATAAAATATTTATTATGTCCGGAACAATCATTTTTGAAAAGTTAAAACAAGGTGAAACACTATGATGTGGTAGATTTCACATCATAAAACGATGTTGCATCCTGACCAATAAAGGAGAATATAGTTGTGCTATGAATGATGGAGAAAATACAGCTGTTTATGTAGAGTTCTTAAATGTAACAAGACACCAAAAGCTGTTCGTTTGGGAATATATTCTCTTCCTAAGTACATTTTATTGTCAAATTCATGAAAAATTACTTTCTTTTAAATAATGTATTGCCATGAATATATGCTACTTCAGTTTTAGGCCATCAAATAAGTTTTATTCACAAAAACAATTTGTGGGGACATAACAGGACACCGATTTTGCAATCAAAAAGTTTTTTTGGGTACTAATAGATGAAGATGCATATTTTTTATGCATCTTAGGAACAACTAGCCGTATAATATACCACATGCTTCTTATCCAACATTTGTTAAATGTAAAATGGTCTTTTTTGTATATTCTACCATTTCAAAAAGCAATTTCAGTTGTTGGCCTATATATTCATTTAATGTCAAGGACATAACATTGGACTTGCATCACCGCTCCTCCATTATTTAGTCCTCATTCACATTGTGGTGGTGCAGATGCATGTTAAACAGCCGGAAACCAATCCTTGGTATGCGCCTCTAACAGGATATCGTAAAACAAATATACTAACGTACTTGTAATGACAGATAAAATGGCTGTAGTTCCAATGTACAGGATGTAATGTTATGACACAAATTACACAAGCGCTTAAAAGATTTAATTTGATTGAAACATGTTCAGAGTTTTTTCAATATATTGCTTTTATCTGGACACAAACCACTTCTGCAAGGATATACACAACCACAAGTCGAAAATAATGCACAAGTTAATGTATATCTTTGGACATAACATTTAGGACACGAAATGTTACATCCAGGTGCTAAGGTTTTCAAAATGTTATTAATGTAAATTAATGTAATAACATTGAACAAAACAGATAAGTAACGTTTCTTTTTTGCCTGTGAAAAGACCTGACTATGGACACCAAAAAATATCCATCCCAAATGAGACTTAACATAGATATTGTGATTTAAATATTTCATAATATTACAAAATGTTTTGGTAGTTATATTCTTGTTTGAGGAACTTTCAATTGATATAATTTATGTTTCATTCCGCAAACAAGATTTGGATGTATATTCAAAGGAGCACATGTAACACATATTTTATGACACCATAGACTTGCTTATTTGATAAAACACAGAGAAGATTGCATTTCTCCAAATTTCTGTTTCAAAACTTTTCTAAAATACTTTTGTCTTTGTAACTTTATACAGTTGTGTCATCAAAACATTGGAATCCTGTGTTTTCAATTTAGACATTGCTTAGCATTTAACAAATGTTAATATTGCAAATTTGTAAAATACTTTAATTGCACTAATTCGGAAAAGGAAAAGATTTCCAGGGAGACCTACCAATCTAATTAAGTTCTCAAGCTAACTACACAAAGGAAGTGTTTTGTATAAAAATTGAAATCATGACACTTTAGTCTGCTACAAATTGAATTTCATTTCACTACCTATTTTGATGGAGTAAGGGAAAGCAAAAGGATCTGCGTCATATTGCATGAAATTGAGGCCTTTCACATTTACCACCAATTCAATTTTATGCTTATCCATTTATATTGTGTATTGGTTGGGCCAGTATATGGATTGGAGCGGTAAATGCATGGCCACATTCAATTTAACTCTTAAAGCTCTAAACTTTCCGACAAATTGAATTTCACAAACTTGGTATTACAAAGCTGCATTTCGATGAAGCACAATATCGTTTTAGGCTAAGTGAAAAAAGGTATTCTGTGTAGAATAAGACCTGGATTTCTACCACTGAATAGCAATGTATGATCTGTGTATAGCTTACTGGATGCTGTTATAATTTCAAAGCATTCTAAATTCTACAATAATTCCTTCCCATTATACACAACTCCCTCCTGTCACATACACTAAACATGGTTACAAGAGTTTTTATTTTCTTTGTCTAATAGTTGATTCGACAGAGATTACAGCGGTCCAAGGAGGGAAGTAAGCAACAGAATGAGTTATACAAACAGCCCGTCCCAGCGAATCACTTGGCACTGTCCTCCACAGCCCCAGCAGTGTTACAGAGCTTCTCTCGAGCCTCCAAGCCACTTGGGATCCCTTCCCATGTCATCCCCAAAACAAACATCTCACGCATGCAGCGAAACAGTGTTGAGGGCCTTAGCATGGTCAGTGTACATTTACTTATACCCTTTGTTTGCTTGTTTTAAATTATAGAAAGTATGTGGCTGCATCGACTTTTTACTTTTAACAATTCTGGTTAAATGTTTTGCTTTGAATTTAATCAAAGCTAAAAAAGATGAGATCAGATAGTGGACAATGTACCCATCCTACCTAGAAGAATCACATGTACAAGTCCCCTATCCCTGTAGGGATTACACCACACAACTGGAATCCTCACCTGAGGCTCTGAAATAAGTGATACAGAGGTGTTGACTTGAAAGTTTTGTTTTTTTGAAAGTGCAAATGCAACTCCAGCCAAACTTATTTTAGCTATGACTTATTGGATTGGTATCTCAGTTAATTTGCAAAAAACACTTAGGGGAATTTTGTGTGTTCCTTATAAAAGACACTAAAGTTGCATCTCCAAAGAAAAAAGTCACAGAGGACGTCTATTAACAGTTGTTTTTTATGGTGTTTCCAGGTATCTAACATCTAAACAGACCTGTTCAGATCAGTGAATTAGACATAGTAGCAATGTGATATAAGCAACTTTGTCAAAGATGAACCATTAAGTTTTATCCAGATTTTATAATGCAAAGAAAGCTTGAAAAAAAGGACTGAGAGGTTTACCTGTTGGGATAACAATGTAAGGTGGATTGGTGGGAGTGTACCTGTTGGGATAACAATGTAAGGTGGATTGGTGGGAATGTACCTGTTGGGATAACAATGTAAGGTGGATTGGTGGGAATGTACCTGTTGGGATAACAATGTAAGGTGGATTGGTGGGAGTGTACCTGTTGGGATAACAATGTAAGGTGGATTGGTGGGAATGTACCTGTTGGGATAACAATGTAAGGTGGATTGGTGGGAATGTACCTGTTGGGATAACAATGTAAAGTGGATTGGTGGGAATGTACTTGTTGGGGTGACAATGAAAGATGGGATTGATGGGAGTGTACCTGTTGGGATAACAATGTAAGGTGGATTGGTGGGAATGCACCTGTTGGGGTGACAATAAAAGATGGGATTAATTGGAGATGGGTTTGTACATATTATATGGCCTTGCTTTTGGTTGAGGAATTGTTACTGTCAAGCATTCTATGGAAAAGTTCTGAAAATAGTTAGTTTCATTTTTGCCACACTGAATGTATATGGTTTTAGTTGTTTAACTGAAGTCTGTAATATAAAATGTATTATCATTATTCAGGAGGGTTAGGATAAACAGCCAAAAAAACATATCAGTAAAAGGGAGGAATCCAGTAAAGTTGGAGAGAACTGGTATACTGGAAATCATTCATATTTCATGTGGTATTCTTTTTGGAGGTAATACGAGAGGAGAGTTAATTGCAAATTCAAAGTTTGTGCACTTATCTATACAAATCTCTAGATGACATCCTTGTTATTCTGTCCTTAACATACTTTTACACTTTAGCTGGATTCATATCTTATATTATCACAAACAAATCTGTTAGACATGCATTACTTTAAATTCAAACATCTTTAGAACTTTAGTACTTTTAAATGACACGCCTGTATTGCTGGCTGTAGAGCTATAGTTCAGAAGTCAAGCATATTGCCACAACAGGTATTATCCCCAATGCTGTTATTGTGTTGAAAAGATGTAAAAATGTTTACAATAACATAGTTTATAACATGCAAATTATCTGTTTTATTGGATTACACTGTAGGAACACTGTCAAGGATACTACCGCTTGGTCGATTCCTGTATTATTAGTATAAACATATTGTGAATCATAATGTTAAACACTGCACAATACGTCTGGCCTATTGAATTCCTGTCAACTTACCCTGAAAACAACTCACTTTGCTCTTCAAACATAAAAGAATGTGGAGTGCTCACAGTCATTCTTTTGTCTACATACTAGTCTGTACTAATAGCTCTTCATTCATGGATTCTAAATCATTTCTAGATCAACGTTCATGGAATTATGTATTTGCCAATATGTCTACAGAAGTGAGTTAATGAAATAAAGTATTTGTCAAATTTGAGTGAAATGGAAGAGGTCCAGTAAGGTGGGTGAAGGGATCATTATAGTGAAAGGAGCCCTGTATAGGGCCACCCACTTATTATGGTCCATAGGAACATGTTAGTTAGTAGTTTTTTTTTGTGTTCAACTGTTGTACAACCCATATTTAAAGGACTAATGTTATTAATACTACCCTTTTTATCTTAGTCCTTCACTCTCAACATATCAAGTACAGAATGTGTTACTGTTAGTCTGGTAAACAGAAATGAAGTCAGAAGACCTGTCTGTTAGTGGGTAAATTGTTACACAACAGTTGACACCAGTACAAAAACTTTGGGTGTGTATAGGAATGAGATTGTGTCCAGATGGTGGAAAAGTATTAGATATGCTAAAGTATTCTGGTTAAGGTCAATTTCAATGTAACAAAGGTTACAAACTTGTGGACTTATGGATACTGTTATCTTAATTGTTATTACAAGTCACATTTGATATTAACTATTGTATCTCTGCCACTGTTATACGACTGCAGATAATAATTGGAAGAATCTCATTTCAACCACATTATATATTATTGTCTTATTTAGCCATTATCTGACTATAGGTGAATGATTAAAATTAAAAGTGTTTCTAAGGTATGCTTCCTATAGAGAGGCAAGAAAATGCTTCATACAGTTGGGCACTTAGTCTGACTAAGGGATATGTCAGTGACTCACAAAATTCTGGTTAGAGTTGTCTTCTAAACGAAGTTAAGACTCATAACATCTTGTCTACTACAACATTCCCTATAATAACTTAAAGTTGCTGTGTCTCCAGAATGCACAGGCATAGTGTAGAAGGCCTAAGTATGGTAAGTTCACCATTCTTTACATTACAACAGGTCCCAAAAATGTTTTATTTTTTTTGTTTGGAGAAAATGACTCATAGTATTATTGTAGCATACACATCTTTCATACATAAATTTGTCAAATATAATGAAAATGTTTACTAATTCAGTCGAATATGGTTTCATAAGTTTAGCATGCACACATTTGGTGTGGTTTTATGACATGTATGCAAATAGTTGAATGGAAATAATTTGTTGTAAATGTACTACAGGCTATATATTAGCCAGATCTAAAACTGTCTTGTATACAGGTTCCATAGCAACAAAGTATTTCATTCAAAATACAGTCTGATTCTGATATTTAGTAAGGATTACCAGAGCATGAAATATTCAATATGTTTTCATGAAAAAACTTTTTTCAGTCTGTTAAAGATGTCCTTCTCCTCGGTAATTAGCACCCTTTCATGCCCCACCCTCAAACTATGACAGTATCTTGCATCAGATCATGTTTCAGAATTTTGATTTCAGGAGAAAAGTTAGTGACATTTAAAAGTTTAGGAATATATTTCACACTTTTTTTAGCAAGAATAAATTAAAATACGGAAGAAGAAAAAGAAGAATAATAATAAGAAACTTAACAAAAACAATAGTAAATAATAAACATGTATTTTGGCAGTTACACAGAATAACTGAGAAATGTTTTGAATCAGGAGGCGGTTTAGATAACATGTTCATGAATATCTTCAGCTAAATTGTTGCCTTGTATTGTACAGTACTTGCATTCTATAAAACTGACAAATTTCTAAAACGACATGCACAGCTGTAAACTGTTTATTTATTTTTGGGTCACCTGAGAAAAAATCTCATGGTGACCTATTTAAGATCCCCCCTTGTCCAGCATCGTCATATGTTTCTGCTGTCTGCCATGCAACAATAAGCTTTTTGTATTTTCAATTTCTTCTTGAAAACCAGAAACCAATTTTAATGAAATATTGAAGAAATCTTCCATTGCCAAAGGGGAACTAAAATTACTAATTATATGGTCCACATCCCCAAAGGACTTGACTGGCAAAAAGAGGTGAAATTGTTGCAATTTCAAAAATTTTGTTTTCAATACCCAAATTTGATAGGATCAAACACTTTTCATAGATAGAAGAGTCTTAAGGTACTCTTCCAAAACTGCAAATGTCATGACCCTGGGGTCTCGATTTTCCCCTTGGGAGAGGGTAAAGTTTTGTATTGTTTATATAAAAAATCACATTTTAAGTATAATTTGCTTATTTTCTTTTGGAAATAGATAAGACATGATTAGAATGATCAGTATAAGATGACAGTATGATGATATGCACATATTGACCCTGACTAACCTCCATGTGCTGATAGTGTGGCCGAAAACGTGTCCAATTAACTGAAATTTAAAAAATCTTCTCAATACCTACATAAGGTAGAATCAAATACTCTCATGGATGGAAGGGTCTTATACACTTCTTTATCAAAATTGTAAATTTTATGGCTGCAGGGTCTCGCATTTTACTATCAACTATTTGATATAAGAAAATTACATTTTTGAGCATAATTTGTTGGTAGGCTATTGGAAATATTTCACCTTTGGTTAGAATTATTTGTGTAGGAGAGCGTTCTGATGGTAAGTGCACATATTGAGCCAAAAAAGTAAAATTGATTGAAATTTCAAAATAACTTATCAATATTTCAGTATGTTCATCGGGAATTGTTAATGTAATCCCTGATTAATCTGAATTGACTGGGAATTAAGGACATAAAGAGAGCAGATTCTATATTTGATCTATGTAATTTAACAGCCTTATCAAACCACCAAACTTACATGTACCCAGGTACTGTAGTGACTTCATTTCATAGTGATATTGTGCAAACAAATGCAAATGTCATGAAAACACTGAACGGGTTTGTGTTTGAGGATTCCAAGATCATAAGGTTAAGATTATCTACAGAAAATCTCCAGCCAATTCAGTGACATGATTCTTTCACTGTCATTTCTGACTGGATTTTGGTAAGTCTATAATGTTATGGTGACAATATCTTCAATGAGTTTTGTTTCAAGAGTCCAAAGTCAAGGTCAACTACTATTTACAGAAATTTCTCAGTGTCAATTTTCCTGAGAATGGGGATGCTCATGTCTTAAACACATTTTCTAGTTTCATTACTGTATTAAATA